CCTACAGAGTGTCAAAAAAAAAATGAAAGAAAATGGCTTAGCACTGACAGAAGTATAGATTTTTCTGCTACTCCTGTGTATATGTATGCCATGTATGCTTTTTTTAATATAGGTAGCTACAAATAGTGTTTTCCTCTATCTCAACACCTGCTTTTAATAGTTTCATTTTGTGTTTCCAAATAATTGCTTTCCTTTTTTTCCTTTCCCTATTCAGTGTCAGTGACATGTAACAAACAGAAATATTTCACAGACATCATCTCAGTGACTTACTTTGCATGCAAATGTGCATTTTGGTTTCAAAATGATAATCCATCACTATTCTGTACACTTAAAAAATTCAATAGTTGAAATACACTGAAATTCTCTTGTTCCATTGCTTGACAGATCTTTCATTTGGCTTTTCTGTAGCAAATTCTTTGTCAAACTATTCTTTCCTTTATACATCTAGTACCTCATTATATTTTTGGATGGATGTGACCTAACACTCAAAATACAATTTGTGAAGATGGAAATACAATGTTTTCTTCAAGCTACTCATTCTAGACATTTCTATCGTTAATATATTTCATCTTACAAAAAGCCTTTGTTCAGCTGAAGTGGAACTGTGTTCTGTCGTTATATTATTGGGATACTAGATTAAAAGATTTGTCTCCCTCTTAATGGGGCTATGCAATAAGTCTACAGCTGAACACAACCTGAATCCAAATTTTTGTTTCCTAGTTCAATACAGTTTTATCCAATCATCTTTCCTATTCAGTGTGTGAACATGACTTCTATGAAATCCTTGCATTAGTACTTCTCTTTCAAGGGAAACCTGTACAATACTGTGAGATAACATAGCTAAGACAGTATCATAGTTGTGCATTAAGGTTGATGGAGGATCTTGAGTATAGGGTATAGAGAAATGGAAAGACTGAGAGTAGAACAACCATAGTCACTTTGAGGAAAGATACCAAGACCCAGTGATAGGCATCTTAACCCTATTATAACAGGGTTAAAAAGCATGATGAGTATTTTGCAGAACAGAAGCAGCATGCAAAAAAACCACAATAATAGAGGCAGAGCAGATTTTCTTTTCTTCTCTTCTTCATACATAATGCTGCCACACCTACCTGAAATATGAATGAGCTTGTGAAGGCAAAGTCATTCTAATCAGTTTTACATCATTATTTAAAACTTTTTAAGTGTTCTGTTTTTATTTAGTTGAACATTTGTCATCGGTCACTAAGCAGACTTTAGTTATTAACATGTCATTACAGAAGCACTCATGGAGACATGTGGATTCTTAAGTACCTATATTTCAGTATTAGTGCAGTCAACTAAATTAGGTACTAATGCCAGAAAACATCACTAAGTAGACAAGCTTATATCAGTATATGCTTAAATGCTGTCTTAAATAGGAATAGATTTAAACACATAATGTTTTTCTTTCTCTGGGTCATAAAGAGTAGTGAATCAATCACATTTTTACTTCTTTATCTTTCTAAATATATTTATACCTACACACATTGTGGGTTTGTGGGCTGGGTGGTTTTTGGTGGTTTGATTCAGTGCATTTTTTTCTCAGTGATTGTTTTTGTCTTTCAGACTTGAATCTCCTACTAGATCTTTGGTAATGGAAGCACCCAGGGGAGTGCAAGTCAATGCAGCTGCAGGAGACTTAAAGGCTACCTGTAGGAAAGAACTGCACTTACAGTCCACAGAAGGGGAGGTAAGTTCAGCCAGTACAGAAATATTCTACAGCTCTGCCCAGCGTAATACAAACAATGTGAGGGTAGTTTATTCAGCAGCAAGGTAAACATCACAAGAAGTGTTCTGCATTTGCCTGTGTTAAAGTAATTTTGGTTTAGCTTGCTCAATTATTAATACTTATTTGCTTTTTGCAAATATTTGAATCACTAAGTTTCATTCACGCTGAAAAAAAAATGTTAATTAAATTAATATAGATAAGAATTATTTTTAATCTAAGTCAAGGAAAAAGCTACCCAGTCATTCAGCATATCCGTGGGACAGATAGAGCTAAGTGATAGTGGTAAAAAATTACTTTGGATGAATCTGAAAAACTGAGAGAGAGAAGTTTGGATTAATTTGGATTAATACTTCATTAAACCATGATGAAGAGGTTTAACGAATTTGCTGTACCTGTGGTTTATTTCCTTGAACTGTTACTATCTCTGTAAGAGAGACAGAGTACTTCAATGGTATGTTCTCTGTTCTGTTTCATCAGTGTCTTGTTTCAGTGATCAGCTTGACATAAAAAGATTTTGGTATAGATTCTTCATGTGTAGATCCGTGTGAACTCATGAAAACAATTTTAAATTGAGTCACTAGTTTGGTTGGCAACGCAAGTTTTGCAGAAATGCATTAAAGATTACTGGCATGAGAGTCTTTTCATCTTCAATCCTTAAAATGCTATAACATTAAAAAAAACTTGTGCAAGGGTATCAAAGGCTCTCAGATTTCTGTTAGGCTCTTTGGAGAAATGGATAGATTTTCAATTTGTTCTCAGTGGGACTTGCCAGGTTACAGCATGCTTGGAAAACCAGTTGTTTAACGCAAATATCTAATTGGGAATCGAGCTCTTTAGAAATTTTTTGCATTTTGTGTTTGTATTTTCTACCAAATGTTCCAAGATACTTTGCAAACTATCAAAATAAGCAACAACAAACAAAACCAGCATTCACATCTGTGACAGATAACCCCTGCAATGCACACTCTTTGCATTACAATGCAGGCAGGAAGATTTTTTGGCCAGTATGCTGCATCAAAGGCCTACTTTGATAACATTTTTCTACTGATGCAAGCATCTGTCCTGCATAATTAAAGCACAATATTTTCTTAATTCAGAGCCTCAAATATCTGTATACCACATACCCCATCTTATTTCTGAGTTTCTCCAAAAGCCAGCTCTTCCCACAGTCTCTCATCTTTACTTACCAGCCCTCTAAATATGAAGTCTTCATTACAATTTTCTGAAAACTGCTGAGACAGCAGTAAAGATAATCTAATCCTCTTTTAATAATAAGTATTGTCCTCCCTCGTCCTTTTTTTGGGTATATTTATTGTGGGACTACAGCTTCCTGTAACCTTTCCTGCTTCCTCTCCATAAATCCCTACCTGACCTCAGGTACCTCAGGTAGGGATTTATTTTTGTAGGAAAGTAAATGTTTCCTACATTTATTAACATAAATTTTTCCCCTAGAATGTATTTCTTTGTTCTTTCCCTTCATGATATTACCAGAGGGAAAAAGTGATACTCAAATGAAAATGAAAGAAAAAAAAAAAAACCACAAAAAACCAACAGAAAGACTGTTACCTTTCCTCAGTCCCCCATGATCCCTGAAGCAATGGTTGTATCTGTAAGGTCTTGGTTTAGTATTGTGCATCTCTGGTGCTTTGTACAAATATTTAATCTGTGAATTCATCAGGCATTTATTGCATGACTTCTAATTTTTCTTAAGTATTTACTACAACTTATTGAAAAGGCAGTTTTGGAAATAATGTCCCAGTTGGACTTCAACAATGCAAACCCAAGAAAAGTTATAATGAGTATATTATGTATTATTCAGAATTTGGATTCAATTCAGTATTAAATGCTTTATAGGAAAAAAATGCCAATGTGAAGCAGGCTTTACTGACCTTTATATTAAAAATCATTGTTTTTCTATGTGGTAAGTAAGACTTTGCACATCTGTGATTTCCCACATAGATTTTAGATTGATAGTTGTCAGAAAACAAGCTACCAACCTTTCCCCTCTCTTTCCCAAGGAGGTGTTCTGTAAACATACATCTGACAAAGTTCAAAGTGTCTAATTATCTCTTGAATAGTTGCAATTCCAGTAAGATCTGTAAAGAACTGTACCCTAAATCCACAGAAATTCCATCCTGAGGTCTGACCAATGCCTTTATAATCTGCTATTTTATCTCTTACAACAAAGAGGGTCAGAGGAAAACGCAGAAACACTTTGGAAGGCGTATGATGAGCTTCCACAACATCACCAGTTGGGCAATATTACCGTGGCCACATTAGGGAATTACTGGATGAATTACAGCCTGGTGTGAGGAACCAGGGAAAACATCTGATGGATAAAATATCTACATAAAAAAATATTGATTGGTGTCCTTGCTTACAGCCCAACAGATACACCACAGGTTAGCAGACAGTATGGAAGGAAGTGTAAAGGGTTTATACTAATTTTTAAGAAAACATATTCTAAACCAAAATGAAGTATCTATGTCAAAAATAATCTTCATTTTAGCCTAAAGTCAGGTTTCTTTCATGAATAAAATAATTTTGCCTTTGTGAATTGGATCTGTGAACCATTTCTGTGATAAGACATTTTTTGTACTAGAAAAAAATACAACGTTTTAGAATTATTATTACACTGGTTAACTAAATTTAACTTTTTGATGTTTGTGAGCTTATTCAAAAAATCATCAAAGATATATGAATTATTATTTTCCTTCTATAGCATAATTATTGTCCTATTATGCCAGAAAATAGCTATGTGGCATCTGGAAATAACCAGTTATAGCCATGTAGCAGAACATTATGAATTTACTGTGGATTAATCTATGAAACATATATTTTCCTTTTATTTAAGAACAACTTCAGAATATTTTTTAAGAACAGAAATATGTTTGTGAAATACTTTTCCTCTAGCCTTATTTGTCATGCAGTATAATCTCTGGCCTCCCACATCATAAACTGAAAGCCTCTGGAAGCATTCTGAATTCTGCTGTTTGATACATTTTCTTTTTATTTACTGCAGTATTATAATAATCCTTTTAGCCCTATTACGCATTATAATGCGTGATCCCAGGCTGAATACTGGGGGCTGTAATTTAGACTCAGATTCTGCTGCCCTTTATAAAGCTCTTGAGCTGCGCCCTTGTGGGTCGAGGCATCAGCAGAATCCTTTGATTCAATTATAGCTTGGCATTTAATTGTGAACTATGTATTACTCTATAAATAAACCATAACTAATGGTTTAAAGCAGCAATCACTTACAAATGAAATGTGAGGCTCCAGGCTCTAGCCGAATCTATTGGTTCACATAAGAAGAAAAAGAACATTTCTTCTGGAAATTCAGCACAGTGACTGCTAGTTGACTACTGCTTCTTTCACATGTAAATGCAATGCAAAAGTAGAGATCAATTTTGAATTCTTTAGATACTAGCTTTTGCTAGGCATAAAAATATGTTAGAATTGAACCTAAACCACATGGTCATATAATGAAAACAAGCTTAAAGGATTATTTGATGTCCGCTTATTGATCTAACAACTAATTTTAATGATTTTGACAATACATCACCCTTTGAAGGAGAAGGGTGCTAACCAGCCTCGGCTCTTCTGAGTATTGTGCAGCTGCTATGTGTTTTTGCAAGCAGCTTCTATGTAAACTAGGCTGTGCACTTTCACTGCATCCCATTGACTATCAAAGACCAAGTAAATCAAAGGAGAAAGATGCACAGATGCTTCTCATTTTTACAAACATATTCATATTAGTCACCCTGTCTGTGACCTTTTTCCTATTTACTGCTTTATGCCCTTGTATTTCCTTGTCAAATTACACTCCTTCATAGCATTGTTTGTAGACTATATTTGGTTGTTTCTGGCATAACGAAGCTGACCCCTTGGTGAGGCTTATAGCTGTCACATTAAAAATGAGCAGTACTCTTTAACAGACAAAGTTTACTCAAAATCAGTGTAGCAGACAAGAGGCCAAGTTTATATTTACCATTTTAGCACAACACAGTTTATGAAGCATACACCCAAGATTATTTTTTAGAGACTAACAAGTGCATATAGCACTAACATTTGATCTATAATCCTGTCCAGTCCTCTCTCTAAATCCAAGAGATATATTTAACACAGAGATTAATACTTAATAAAACTGGAGTAATCTTCACTTGTAAGCCCAACCAATAGTACCATTTTAAAGCTTTGGTTTTAGTGGGGTTTTTGTGAATGGTTTTTATGTTCTGAAACAGAAAAAAAATGATTTTTTTTTTTTTTTAATTATCTAAATACACTGAAATGGAATTACCTTGTTCTGCAAACTGCTTGCCATGACTACAGAGGAATGGCTGATCAAAGGCACAACAGCATTTCCTAGATTAGTTCAATTCAGCCAAGTTATGTTTGTCTGAGATTAAATGTTTGAAAAAAAATTTAAATGTTTGATATGGATGAAGTGAGTTCAATAAAAATAAGCAATGGCAGGCTGTAGAGCTCAAAGATCCACTGTTTATTCACCAAAAAATGTGTAACAAATGTCTGTCTGCTGCATTTTATTTTCACAGCCCTTTTTCATGGTATTAACCAGTTGACTGATCACTGTTGTCTGGGAGGAAAGAGATTAGTGGAAATGAAAGCAAATTTTTCTGTATTTTTTTTAATTATTGATTTCAAGAAATCTATTAAGATATTTTGACAGATATTTTAAACGTTAAAATGCCATGTTATTTTTTAAGTAAAACCTTTAATTTTCAATTTAAACCAGTTATTAATATGTAAGTTAATTTATAGTAAAAAACACTTTTATGTAGAGGTCTACAACCAAAATACAATGTTCCCAAACTACAAAAGCAAAGTGTTTTAATTGACATCGCCCATCTTTGAACTGTTTGTTCATGGGCAAATTTTGAAGACGAACACCATAAGCCATTTTATTAGAAAGATAAAAAGAAGTGACAATTATATTGTCA